TGATCTTAGCTGTGTAACATTTGTGGTGTTTAAGGTAAAATAGGTAGAAGAAGAGTTTCATGGACTTTACATGGTTATTAGTTACAGTGATTTCGTATCCAGGTGGTGTTTTGGTTTCTCCTTGCTTATAGTAGGTCACAGTGGGCACCAGACCAGAACAAAACTCCCATTAATTTTAAAACTATTTTGATACAAAATGCTTCACAAGTGCTACAAATTGCTGTTTTAAAGTATGCTGACTTTTCTGGAGATAACTCAGGCATGCATAGTAATTCTCTGGATATGTAGATTATTAAATGCCTAAGATGGAGTTTTCTGCCTTTTGTCAAGGATGCTAATCCAGTTCTCTTTCTCTCCCTACCAAGTAAACAAAGCAGCAAAGCGAACCACAGCAAGAATCAAGAACCATAAATCTTAAACCAACATCCTGGCGTGTAGGTTCCAAAAGCAGCACATCTCCCTCGCAGCCTGGGAAGTGCTGGGGACAGTGGTACCCTCCTACAGATGCTGCTGCCTTTTTGTCTAAGCATCTCTTCCTGGGAAGGCAGACAACTGAGTGGAGCACCTGGGAACCTCTTGTAGATATCAGTTGTTGAGTGCACAGGAGGTTGGTGCTTGTTCCCACACTGAGTGTGCTGCCACTGCTGTTCTCTCAGATAAATCCCAGTCTGCTGCTGGACACTGCAGGCAGAAGGGCTGAGAACATGGTTTATTGCTAAATAAGGTCATTGGTTATAAGCTCTGTTTCATAAAAAACACGGTCCCTATCCTAAGCTGCTTACAAAATAGACATATATTATGTAGACAGTGTACTTAGTCCCTAAGGATAATGTAACCTAAGCATTTTTGCCTGAAAATGAGTAACTTCAAGGTTGAGTCAGTATTGAGGATGTCTGTCACAAACTTAAGCATAGAATGTAGTGCAGATAATGCTGTGTTTACTTGAAAATCGTCATGCAGGTATTTCAGTGTCCATAAACTCCCAGCATATTAGAGCTGAAGTGATACAAGAGTGAAATGTGAGTATGCTAGAGCAGAAGAGACGTGACCAAGGCTTACGGAGTGAGCTCACCACTGTGGTGACAATAGCCATACAGTTTGGCTTAAAGTGTTTTAGTATTTATGGTATCAGATTAGATAAAGACTCACCAAAAATAAAAGGGTGAGATTAATGTTCTAAAATCTAATGTTCTAATCTTTTTCCCTCCCAATATCATTACAAGATGGAAATAAGGAACGAATTATTTCCTGTGCATGTTCTTACATAACGTCAATATAAAGCAGTCACGTTTTGCTTGTCTATTTTTTTCCTTTTATCATGTTCAGATTTAAATGTAGCCTTAATCCTGTATATCCTGCTTTGAAAAGCTTAGATCTGTAATGTGTTGTACAGCAGTCTTTAAAAGGCGTTATCCATTAAAAAGTGTGTGGTAGCCTTGAGATAACAATACAGATTTCAATTCTTGATTTTATACTTGACAGTTTTGCTTGGATAATTTTCTTCATTCCAGACAAAGTTCAGAAACAGAGAACTCTGATTAAGAAAAAATGAAAAAAGAAACAAACAACACATCATTTAATATCTTACTAGATTAAATATGTAGTAATACAGTTTTATGGGCAAATTCACAAAAATACGAAACCATATAGAACAAAGTCAACAGGCTGACCAGAGAGGCTCTGAATGCTCCGTCCCTGGAGGTGTTCATAATCAGGTAGGATGGGGCCCTGGGCAGCCTGGTCTGGTACCAGATCTGGAGGTTGGTGGCAGGGGGGTTGGAACTTGGTGATCCTTGGGGGTCCCTTTCAACCCAAGCCTTTCTGTGATTTTGTGATCCCATAATGGCAATTTAAATGCTATGAATTTATCCTGTATTCGGAATATTCATCATGCAGCAGGTGGGTGCGACTTGCTCTGGAGGAGGTGGGCCCAGCCCATGTCCAGGCACTCTGGATACCAAGGCATATACCTTGCTTCACCCAACATGGGGCAACAAGTGCACCGAGCAATAATTACCATTTCCCCCCTCCTTTCTTATTCTCTTTCTGTTTCAAGAGAGCAGTGAGCTCGCCCGAAGGGCAAAGATGATTTTGATGCTCTGGATGAGCAGAAGATGAAGAAAGGCACAGGTATGCTTAAGGGAAAGAGTAGTAAAAGAGAAATGTAATGCCAGAAGTGAGCCTGCCTTTCTGTGCTCTGGGTGTAGGTTTCTGCCATGCAGTCACGTAAGCACAGTGGGTGTTTGCTTAGACTGCAGGATCCATTCGTATCTTTATAATCTCTTCTGGAACTTGTTAAAACAGTGCCTAGTTTGAGGTGATGAATGCTTTTCTTGAATGGAGAAAGTATGGGGTACAGAATCTATAATTAAAGCAACTAAAGAGAGCTGTAAAGTTACAAATGATGATAAGCTTAAAAATAATTAGTGACAAGTACCAATTTAATAGATGTTAAAGATCTTCTTCCTGCTTCAGAGGAGACGTGTTATAAAAATTGATGCACATCTCTGGAGCGTGCCACTGCATATTCCCAGTAACAAAAGTCCAAAAGAAGATACAACCTATTGTGTGGCAGAAGTACTGCAAGATCCAAATACATCGCTGCTGATGGATAGCAAGGATGAGTCAGGTGTGTATTGTTTCCACTCGGAGATGGCTGTCATACTGGTGTGCCACGCATTATTGTTCACTGCCTGCTGCTGAAGGGCCCCAGTTTTCAATATGAGCGCTTGGGCTGAATAATCACACATGGCTTTTATTGAGAAGTAACACTGATCCCTGTAGAAAAGGCAGAAGTGACTAAGACTGAAAAGAAGATAAAAATAACAGACCTTTGCAGTTCCACTACAGGGAAGGCTCTATTTATGATACAAATGATACATTTGTGTGTCCGTGACAGTGAATTAAAAATGAGAGGAATAAGCTTGCTGTTGAAATGAAACTGCACTGCAGTGCTGCTCATTAACTCCCACATGAGGCTGTCAGTTCTCCGAACAATGTTGCTTGCCCCTGAAGGGGTGAGTGGCTTCTTCACCGGTTAACACAGGAAGCAGAAGGGCCTCCTGGGCCATGTGATGTGGATTTGGCAGTGTGATCATTGTCCTGAGGCAGGCAGCAGATATCACACATGGCCACACGTCTCACAGAATCATAGGCATTAGAAGGGACCTCCAGAGATCATCAAGTTCAACACCTTGGCTAAGGCTGGTTCCCTACAGTAGGTCACACAGGTAGGTGTCCAGATGGGACTTAAATTTTATCTGCACAGAAGGAGACTCCACAACCTCTCTGGGCAGCCTGTTCCAGTGCTCTGTCACCATTACAGTAAAGTTCTTCCATGTTTGTATGGAACTTCTATGTTCAAGTCTTGGGCCATTACTTCCTCCTCCCTCCCCTCTTCCTGGCTCCTTTTAGTCTACTGGGAAAAGTAGAGAGAGAATACAAGTCACTGGAAAGCTACACTGATGTTACTAGTGGAATGAGAAAAGGTTGAGCAAGTTCTCTTATTCAGACTGTTCTCAGTTAACATGCTCATTAGCCTCAATGGGCGGCTTTTAAGATGCTCCTGATCAGCTGTTTCCTTTCTTTTAGCCCACAGAATTGTTCCTTTTCAAAGCAAACTGAAGTTACCTTCTTATCTTCGGGAATCTTTCTTGGCCATCCTGATAAAATGGCAGTTCTAAAGAAGTGATAAAGGACTGCCTATTTTGGGGCTTCTTTTCGGCCTTTCTATGAATTTCTTTCAAAAGCACCCTTTTTTTGCTAGGATCAGTTCCTCACCATTCCACATTTACTCGTGTATAATTTTCTAAGCTTTGTTTTGTATTTGTTATTTTGTCTTCCTGAGAACTGCTAAGATCCAGTGCAGAGGTTGGATCTTTCCTTACATTTAAAAAATTCTGTTGAGATCCCTCTTGTACAAAACAGCAGACGAAAGGCTGATCCATGTTCTATGTCTTGTCATTACTTGTTCTACTCAGTCACATATTTCTCTTTTACTTTCCTTTATTCAACTATCTCTGGATCTTTACAAATCTCTCTTTATCCTATTTAATTAATGCATAAATGAAGGATGCTCTAGGGTTGAGAGCATAGAAATCAGTTTGTGTTGCTGTTTCCAAATGCCAGTGACCTGGATTTAGGAGTTAGGGCTTTGTGTTTTGAGATGAAATTGACAGAACTTGCCATAAGCAATTTGTGAATTGAGAATTACTTATAATCATTGTGTTAGGAGTAAACAAAACAAATAATGAATTTTGGAAAATCATAACCAGATCTAAGGCAGTTTGCAAACATATACAGACGCAAAATATGCTGAGTACATTTTATAGATAATTATCCACTCAGCTCTAGTCCCCAGTCTTGCATGGGTCTAAATTTAATTTACCACAAAATTGTCTATTACCTAATTTTATTAAGATCTTCCTAGAGCCTGTCATAGTTGTGAGCCACCAGAATAACATTTTGCTATCAGCCAATTTGGTGAACGGGGACATTCACTTCCTCTTCTAAATTGTTAATAAATAGTTTGCAAATGCCAATTATGTTGTGATAGCCTTGACAAATTCAGCAATCAACCGCTTTCCATTTTGCCAGTTATTCCCACATACTTCTCACCTTGTGGTGAGTTTTCAGCTCGTTGCAAGATGAATTTGCCCTAGAGGTCCTCAAGGCTAGGTTGGATGGGGCCCTGGGCAGTTGAACTGGTGGGGGACAGCCCTGCCCAAGGGCTTTGAGGTCCCTTCCAACCCAAACCATTCTGTGGTTCTTTGATTCATTCTGTGAATTGTCAACAACTCCAAAGACAGATTTTATCAAAACTCATCAGAAAATAGCCAGTAAATTGCAGCTGCTGTTTGCTGTGTATTTCATAACCTCTTGGTGTTTAGAGGAAGGTTGGTTGTTCTGTGAAAGTGTCACCAAATTCGTTTTATTATTTTTAATGAATGCCTACACCAGTGCTGTATCACCCTTCGCACTCTCCAGGCATGGCAGCTGGTGTGTGATTCCATCTCTGTGCAGATGTCTCTGCCTGGCAGAGATATTCCTCTTCATCCTTTCTGCTGCTCCTCCAGTCTGATCCTGGCAGCCTCAGGCACTGAATGTGCCTTCCTGCTCTGCTCCCTGCACCGCAGGGCTCCAAGCCTGCACCCCACCTCATTCCTACCGCCAGGCAGGGAGGTATGAGCAAAGCACTCAGCTCCTCAGCCTCTTGGTGGGCAGGGCTACATGAAACCTGGAGTCAGAGAGCCCCATAAGGCTGGGAGAGAGGCCAGAAAAGTGAATTCTGGTGACATCTTTCTCCAGCTGAGGGGCTGGGGTGAGAGCATCATCCTCTCACCTGCCACAGCCATCATGGCCCTGCACCATTTCCTTGCTGTTCCTCACACGTCCTTGTTCCTAACTGAGCGTAAGGGTGGGTTAATTCAGGAAGCTGCAGTGCTGGTGTAAGAAAGGTGAGAGAATGAACATCTAAGTGCCCTCAGACCGAGCTACGTGCCCAAGAATCTGAGGTATTGTCGTGTTTTGTCTTTAAGGCAAAAAGATCTTCATATGAATATTGGACTATACAGAGGTAAATGTATTCAAATGCATTTAACATAAGATACTGAGATATTAGCATTGCTATTAGACACAGAATATTAGAGCTTTATTTCCATTACCAAGCAAGACATTGAATTGAAAAGGTATTTCTTCCTTCAGAAGCCATGAAGAGAATCCAAAAGCTCTCATATGATGAGACAACCAGGAAACTCCTTCTTCTCACCTGTTATTCCTGCACTGACTTTCCAGCATAATTCAGAGCTGAACTCTCCAAACTGAGATGTAGTAATTCAATTCGTTACCAGATTATACCTACAAAATGTGGGCAGTTTCTGTACTAAGCAACATATAGTACTGCTTCAAAACAGAAAAAAATGAAAGATCCCCAAAGCATCGTGAAGCCACAACAGAGATACAACATGGTCTGATTTTCAAGCCTTTTTTCTGAATTCTAATCATTCCATGTTAAGGACACTTCTTTCCAGATATGTTACAGATCCAAAAGTATGGTTTTGATCTGAAAATGCGTTTATTTGTATTTCATTATACAATCATAGAATCCTTAGAATTGGAAGGGACCTCTGAAGGCCATCGAGTCCAACTCCCCTACAGTGAACAGGGACACCAAAGCTAGATCAGGTTGCTCAGAGCCTGATCCAGACTTGCCTTGAAAGTCTCCTGGGACAGGGCATCCACCACATCTCTGGGCAACCTGTTGTAGTGCCTCACCACCTTCACTGCAAAAGATTTTTTCCTTATATCTAAAGAATTATCTATTTATTTTATTTATATTTATCTGTGAAAATGTGTTTGCTGGTACAAAAATATTGTCAGTGAATATCAACACCCTATTTCAGTGAAACACATTATTGCTGAGCTGTTTGTTACAGATGCAGGAAAAACTGAACACCTTTGGTTGTGCTGCTGATCAGATAGAAACTGTAATGAACCGTGGGATGTGTTAACAAGGAAAGCAAAGCTTGTCTTTGACATCTGAATAGGAGGTGCTAGCAGTATTTATTTAAATGCACAATTTAAAGAAAATGGCTGACTTGATAAAAGAGCTTGGAATTCTGAACATACCACTACTTGCCCATCTCTGGAGGTGTTGAAGGCCAGATTGGATGGAGCCCTGGGCAGTCTGATCTAGTGCCTGATTTGGGGCCTGGCAGCCCTTGCCATGGCAGGGGACTGGAACTAGATGATCATTGAGGTCTCTTTCAACCCAAGCCATTCTACGATTCTAATTCTATGATTCTAATTCACTTGTGGTGACTTCTCCATGTCTTTATACTTTGACTGTGCCTCCACCTTGTCCTGCAGTCAGTAGTCTACCTTCCAAGCATCCCTCTGGCATGTGGAAATCAGCTTAACTTGTTTATACTTCTCTCTGTATCAAGATAATGCATTCCTACTCATTGCCTTCTCTACCTTCCAGGCCTTTCGGTTTTGATCCCTAGGCACTGACAGGTGGATGAGTGTGTGCATGTTCTTTCAAACTCAATGACTGCACAACTCATTGCAGAGCCTGCTCAGATGAGTGTAAGCTGTGGGAGCTAACTTTGTGCTTGCCTCAAAGGTGCAATGCAGCCAAGAGCTTGGCTGTCCCACACTGAAGTGCCCCAAGCTTGGATGAACTAGGTGGATAGAAATGGTGTGTGGAAGCCCTGCTAGGGAAGCAGATTTCATTAACCAAAGAAGGCTACTGCTTTGCAGGAACTAACACTACAGCCAGCGGTCCTAAAGGTTTAGGATCAATTGTAGGTGGATGAATTAGAATTACTGCAAAGAGACAAAACAAAGAATGCAGCATATCTGTCCACAGCATCTTAGGAGGAATCAAAGTGCCAATAGAAAAAAAATCTATTTTTTGCTTCTGTTGTGAACAGAACAGAAATTCAGAAAAGAAATAATTGATGATATGCTTGGAGTAGGAGGAAATGAGACAGTGGAAGCAAAGCTCTGTGGAAAAATACTGATGTTTTAATTGCTAAATTCAGCACAGATATATCTTAGGAAGCTAATCCTATTGGATGTTTGCTGTATTTGGATATTGGTTAGTTATCAGAGGTGTGTGTGTGTGTGTGTGTGTGTGTGTGTGTGTGTGTGTGTGTGTGTGTGTGTGTGTGTAGAACGTGGTCTTTTCTGCAGCCTTCTTTAGCCAGTTGTACTGTCAGGATGTATAATTCATAATCTTCTAAGAATGATGATGCGCTCATTGTAAGGTGGCACATTCCTTGCAGAACATACAAATTAATAACATTGCCAACCGATAGTCGGCTTATTAGTCTGTCTACTCAGCTTTTAAAATATGTTTCATAGTTCTGTGAAATATTTCTGGTGTTGAGGCAATATCAGACTACAACTAACAAACAGCATATGCAGTAATGCGTATCAGTTGCAACAAACAGAACCCACGAAAAGCGTTTATCTTCAGTAAGTAACAAGCATATGACTCCTCTGTATTGAAAGTCTTGATCTAATACAGGTAGCAAAATCAAAAACCCCAATAAGCAGCAAAGTATTTAAGGGTTGACCAGGAATAGCAGAAGCTGTCGACTCCAATTAAAAAGACACTTGATGAAATGCAATAAATCATTCTTTCAAAGTTAAGAAGCTGGAAAATGAGTGGTACGCAGTGCTGTGCTACCAACCGTGCAGATCCTAGGTGCTTGTATCTGCAGTGGTGAGTCGATGACAAGTTTTCAAGTGTCCGTGTGGATGTTTGATGAGGTCACAGGCAGTGTGTGAGAAGGAAAAAGCACACATCTGTGAAGAGTGAAAAGTGCACATTTCATTTCCTTAGTTCTGAACTCCATATGCTCTTGTAAGATGGGACACGGGCTTATTCACGCTTGCGATTCAGAGATGTCCCTGGTAAGAGGGCTTCATCCATGGGACCAGGAGTGGGCCCTACGAGGGAAGAGCAGTGGTGGTCCTTGGAGCTTTACAAACAAAATGGTTCAAAATGGACCAACAAGGCTAGAAGCTGGGCTGGGCAATGGGTTGTAGGGGAACCAGTGTTGGATGGAGGCGCTTAAATTCTGCCTAAGCCCTTTTTCTGGTACTGAAGTCCCTTATAGGAGCTCCTCATGCAGCTATTTCCATTCCCCATTGAATTCTGGCAATCAGTAATATTTTAACAGTAAAGAGCTAAGGCCTTTATTAGCAGGATGTTCTGCAAGTAGGGAACAAGCAGTCACAAGTGCAATGTGACTCTAGGGACCAGGAACAAAGCTTCAGAAAAAGTCTTCAGGGCTTTGAATCCCCCAAGGAGAGAGAGCAGTTGAGAGAAGAGACTGAAAAAAATAATAATAATAATAATTGTGAAGTTTAAATGTCACACGTCAGAGCTATGCACGGGTTTGTTGTGAATGTGTTACGGTAGCACCTGCTGGCCCTGGTGAGGATTCCTCTGGGATGCATAATCACAGAGCACACTGTGGCCAAGAAGAAATTACAGCTCGTGATCCGCAATATACGAAGGGGGAATAATGACAGACTCGGCCAGGTGAATGCTGCGTTATCCATACATACAGGCTGCACGGACGCGTTTGTGTCTTTGTTTCCTATTTGTGTTGGTTCTATAAACATCAGCATTCCCTCACAGCTCCGAGTCCAGCCAGTTGGCTGTTCCGAGGGTGTCATTGAGGTACCCTGAAATGGGAATTGAAATAGGAGAAAATGACAGCTTTGGCTTTTTGTAAGCTGGGCGGGCTGAGGGACACATTTACATTTAGATTGAGCCTCTTCAGATCTTCTCAGAGTAATTGTAAACTCTCTTCTGCTTCAGCCCTGGAAAGGAATCTCAGGAGCTCCGTGCTGCCAAACTGTGCCTTGCACTCTGTAAAACATGTGATACCTAATCTAGGCAGTCAGGCTTAGCATCTACTTTTCATAATTATTTGTGCAAATACGACTTGGTTATCAAATGTCTGCATTAATCAGACAAAGAGTATTGGCACTGCCAAAATAAATTTGTTATAAAAGTGTTATGTCTGATTATATGTGTTATTCAACCAACACCCCAGCGTGCTATTATGCTGAGAGCCACACAGGCATGTATGAAACCGTTCCCCCACCAGGGAGTGTATGACTAATTTACGATAAGAGACAACAATTGGACATTACAGGCAAATAAAAAGAATAGGAGAGGAGAATGAGAGTAAGCAGGGCAGTCGGTGCCTGCGTGTTCCTGTGAGAACCATTAGAGAGTCTGAAGTAAACGAAAAAAAAATATTTGATATAAATAAATGTGAAATGTGATAGCAGCAATCCTTACTGGGCATTTGCCCAGCCCAGTGCAGATTTCTGTGGCATGTACTTAGCTTTCAAGATGGGGTCCTATTCTTGCTCAGACATTTATGGGGATATCTGTTCTCCCTATAGAATCATACAATCATCTAGCCCAACCATTGATCCATCCCCACTGTGCCCACTGACCACGTCCCTCAGTGCCACATCCACATGGTTCTTGAACACCTCAGGGATAGTGACCCCACCACCTCCCTGAGCAGCCTGTGCCACTGCCTGATCACTATTCTGGAGAGGAAATTTTTCCTAATATCCAACTTAATAACAACCACAACACTGCATTGAGGTATTTGCAGATTTGCAGGGTAAGCAAAGCAAACAGGACTCTATCTGGCACTCAGGCGTCCCAGGTTACTTCCCCAGCTGATTCCAAGCCTTTCCCCACCTCCCTAATTCTTTCCCCTCCAGTGAAAATAATTCAGGCGCTGTCTCTCAGCCATTGTATGTGGAAAAGTGGCTTATCTCAAGCCATGCTTTTCCCTTTCATTTTCCTTTTGAACTGAAGTGTTACAGTAATGGAGCAACCAAGTCAAAACACAGTATCCGTAAATTATTACTGTGCAGTTCCCCTTTCATCACAAGGCTACAACACGTGACAGAGCTAAATGAGGAGGCTGGGGTGATGATCTGCTCCTACAAGTTGTAACATCCCAAGGGAGAGAGGCAGCACACAAGAGCAAAACTTTCTGATAGCTATCATCGAGGACAACATCCATAATTTTTAATATTGCCATAATTAATATTTCCACAGTAATATGTGTTAGGATGACATACAAATGTCATCTCTCCCCCTGGGAGTCTAGAGTCTAGACTCTTTAAGGTTGGAAAAGAATAGTAAGATCATCTAGCCCAACTGTTAGCCCATCACCATGCTCACTAACCGTGTCCCTTAGTACATCTATACATTTCTTGAACACCTCCAGGGATGGTGACACCACCACTAACTCCCTGAGCAGCCTATGCCACTGCCTCACCTCTCCTTCTGAGAAGAAATTTTTCCTCGTATCCAACCTGAACCTCCCCTGGTGCAACTTCAGGCCATTCCTTCTCATCCTATCGCTGTTACCTGGGAGAAGAAGCTGACCCCCACTATGCTACAATCTCCTTTCAGGTCATTGTAGAGAGCAATAAGGTCTCCCCTCCCCCTGGAGCTTCCTCTTCTCCAGACTGAACACTCCCAGCTCTCTCAGCCGCTCCCCATAAAACTCGTGCTCCAGACTCTTCTAAACTTCATTGCCCTTTTCTGGACACGCTCCAAAGCCTCGATATCTTTCTTGTTGCGAGGGGGCCCAAAACTGTACACAGCGCTCGAGGTGCGGCCTCGCCAGAGCTGAGTACAGAGGGAGTTCGCTGCCTTTTCTCCTCCATAGGGCATTCCGTGCACATTTTTAAGGGACTTTGCCCAAGGAAACGCTCCCGGTACCCCGCTGGCTGCAGACCAGCGATACCTGTTGCATCAGTAGTGCGCAGCAGCAGCGGTGCCGCTCTCCAGCGGGAGAAACCGGGAATTATCTCAGGAAACCCGCGTGGCTGGCCGCTCGGAGCACCGAGCACCCCCACCCTCGGAGTCCCCGGTGCCCGGACCCCGTTTGCCTGCGACGCCCGGCGCCATCCGGAAACACCGCCCCGGGCGGAGCGCTGCGCCCCGCGGGAGGGCAGCGGCGGGGGGCGGAGCGGGCGGGCGCTGCGCGCGGGCGGGGAGCGGCTCTGCCCGAGCGGCCGCGGCTCCGCGCGGCTATTTCAGGAGCTGGGCGGGGGCGGTAGCGCCAGGGCTGCGGGCTGCGCTTGGAGGAAAGGGGTTCGGGCGGCAGCGGGCTGAGCTGGAGAGGGAGAGAGGAGGAGGAGACGGCTATTGCTGAGGGATTTGGGTTCGTTTCATAGAAACAAATCAGTGCTCGGGAGAGAGAGGCGAAGAGGAGGAGGAGGAGAAAGGAGGAGGAGGTAGGGGGGGGGAGGGCAGGAAGAAGGGGATCGAGCGAGGAAAGTGTGAGGGCTGTGGCAGGGAGCAGCAGAAGTGATGAGAAAGCGAGCGGGGAGGCTGCAGGAGGCTGCCCGAGCCGCCGCCGCGCTGCGCAGCCCCCACCGCCGGCAGCCCCCATGGAGGCGCTGAACGGGGCCGGTGAGGCGCTGCGCCCGCCGCCCGCCCACCTCCACCCGCACGCCGAGAAGAAGCGGCCGCACCGCGCCCCGTCGCCCGCCAGACCCTTCCTCAAGGACCTGCACGCCCGCGCCGCCGCCAAGCCGCCGCCCGCGCCCCCCAAATCCCCCGCGCTGCCCGGCCGCCCCCCGCCGCAGCCGCCCTCGCCGCAGCCCGGTGCCCACCCGCCGCCCGCGGGGCTGCTCTCCGCGCCGGGCCGCTTTTCCCGGCGCCCCGCCGCCCCGGGGGCCAAGGCCGCTCCCGCCGCCGCTGCCGCCGCCGGCAGAGCGGGTGTCAAGGCCGCCCCCTGCGCCAAGCGGGCGTCCCGCGGGCCGGAGCCGGCTCCCTGCGGCCGCGGCGGGGGACGGCAGCCCGGCGGCGGCGAGGCGGCCCCGTCGCCCGGCAAGGGCAGGAAGGCGAAGCGGGGCGGCGCGGCGGGAGGAGGAGGAGGCCATGCGGCTGCGGCGGCGGCGCTGGCCCGCGTCGGGCACACGGACAGCAGCTCTGACCTCTCCGACTGCCCCTCCGAGCCGTTGTCCGACGAACAGCGCCAGGTCCCGGCTGCCAGCAGCGACGCTGAGTCCGGCACCGGCTCCAGCGACCGCGAGCCGCCCCGCTCCGTCCACGTCCCCGGACGCGGAGCACCGCTGCCGCTCCCCGGTCCTCGCGGGGAACTCACGGCCTCGGGCGCGGGGAGAGCGCCGAGCTGCGGGGAGCAGCGGGCAGCCCCAGAGGAGCTGCAACGGGAGGTGGAGGAGCTGCGCTCGGAGAACGAGTACCTCAAGGTGAGCGCGCTGCGGGGAGCGGTCTGGGGCGGGGGGCTGCGGCGCGGTGCAAAGGGCAGAGGAGGGCTGGGGGCGGTTTCGGGGCGCTCTGTAAAGGAGGTGGGGAAAGGCCGGTGCAACGCCGGTGCAACACGTACTGCGCCAGTGCTGTGCTGCTCGTTGCGATGGCTCGGCGCTACCCGGACTCCGTCAAACGCTCCGGTGGTCAGCGAACCCTGGCTTTCCAGGAACTGTTTTCCTCAATATCGCCCTTTAAAATACACTTGAGAAAGATGTTTCCTCCTTTGATGGGGAGAGGACTACAGCGCTCTGTGTGACTTAGTGCTGAAAGTCCGCCGGCTGCGCGCTGCTGCCGGGATAACGCCGGCAGAGCCGAGCGCCGAGGGTATGGGAGTGCGGCGGGCAGCCCCGGTCCCCGGCCGGGGCAGCCGAGCGCGGGCGTGCCCCGAGCGCGCTGCCCCGAGGGAGCCTTTCGCTTAGAACATGATCTTTTGGCACGGCAGGAGGCCGCGTCCATGAAGATCTATAAATAAATAAACTCGCATCATCCCGTAACCGCAACTACCCTACGGTGTGAGCCTGCTGCTGGTGGGCACGGCGTTGGCTCCACGAGTTCTGCTCAGATGAGGTGCAGCCACGGGAGGGAGAAGAAGGAGGGAGGTGGTGCGCACCGCTCTCGTTGAGGGCTTTGGGCCAAGGGACGATGCTCGGCGCAGCAGAAGGTGAACGGTGCGAGTGATGCTGCAGGGTTGGTCCCCGGGGCTGGCGATGCTTAGTGAGATGGAAAAAGGAGTGAGCAATGATGCAGCAAAATTTTCAGGTGGCACGAAGTTGTTTGTTTTTTTATTAAACCTGAAGTTCTGTCCAGTCTTTGCCAGAGTTGATGTAAACAGAGGCTTGGCCCTTGGGAATGACAGAAAAAATGAAGGCTGAGGTCATGGAATAAATCTCAATACTGAAAATACAAAGTGTTTGGAGAGAAGTAGGGTGTAGGTTTCAAATGCGTTGCAGTAGCTCAGGAGCGTTCTGAGAGCGGGAGCATGCAAATCTCTGGTCTGTGTGGAATTGTGGGCAGAATG